GGGATCCAGGGGATCGGGGTTCGATTCCTGGTCAGGGCACATGCCCGGGTTGTGGGCTCGATCCCCAGTCCGGGGTGTGCAGGAGGCAGCCTATCAATGACTCTCATCATTGATGTTTCTGTCTCTCTCCCTCTCCTTTCCTCTCTCTGAAATCAATAAAGATATCTTAAAAAAAAAAAAAAAAGAACATCTTTCAACTGTAATTGAAAAATAAATTTTAAAAAAGAAGGAAAATCTTTCAGAGAAAAATTAGGATTATGCATAACTTTAGGATTCATAATATTGTAAAATGGTTGAAGTTTAATTACTGGTATACTAAGCTATACTACCAAGTAATTCTTTAGTAGGAAAAATGTACATAATGATTTATGTAATGCTAATTTATGTTAATTGAAAGTACCACGTAGTTTACCTATTTAATGATTTGAGTGTGTTAATTTCCATTTTTATAAGTACCCCACATTTCTTGTCATTTTGTAGTATGTATTTCATATAAATTGTAATGTTAAAAACTTCTATCTTCTTGAGAAAATTTCTTAAATCTCTTAACTATCAAATTTAAAAATATTTTTTTCCATTGAGTTTTAGAGACAGTGGAAGGGAGGGGAGGGGTAAGTAGAGAGAGAGAGAGAGAGAGACAGCAGTTGATTGCCTCCTGCACATGCCTGACAGGCGCTGGGGATCGAACCTGCAACCCAGGTATGTGCCCTTGACCAGAATGGAACACACGACCCTTTGGTCCGTTGGCCAATGATCTAACCACTTAGCCACACCAGCCAGGGCTAAAAATAATTTTTATTACTTCCAAAAGTATAAGTAAATAGAGGAAAAAGTGTTATGGTCTTGGATTTCAAAATTAAGAAAACTTGAGCAATGAGAAGATTCATTTCAGTCCCTTCCCCTCCCCCCTCCTGTCCCACATCAGTACATTTTCATTTGTTTATTTCTGCTCATTTTCTACCTCTGCATCTTATAGAACCTGCAACCTGCGCCATCATTTTTTTTTAATCAACATGATGTTGGTTTATAGTAACTCTCACAATAAAGGGGAAGGAGGGCATAGTCATTAACCAAGTTTGTGTTTTTTATGTGCACTTAATATTTTTAATTACTTATTTCTAGGATGAGGATTTTAAACTTTATTGGCTAAGTGTAATTTTTAAGTATATTTGAGAATATTAACTAATCAAAATGTAGAGGAAAGCCTTGCCAACTCTTTCTGAGGCAGTTGTCCCTCTATGCTGCAGTGTTAAGAACATTATAAATGACCAAGAGTTGTAACCTTCCTGTTCTTTCTGTTATGCGTCAGGGCTTATGAAGGTTCAGAATATTACTTTTGTAATTGACAGCAGAGTTAGTCCCTCGACCCTTTTTTTTTTAGCCTTTATTTTCAGTGTACAATTTGGTGTGAAGAAGAATTTCCTTTTCATATATATCACATCAGTTTGTTTCTGTATTTGGGGAAAAATTCAAGGAATATCAGATGACACCTATTTTCACTATGAGTTGGAATTTTTTGAGAAGCTGGGACTCAGTAGTGCACATATTTCAGGCCTGAGTTTGAGTTTGGAGGTCCTTTAAAATTCACTTTTGTTATTTCTCTTTCTAAGGAGAGTCAGCTTGCAGCAGAGAGTTGAGTGCCTTCAGCACTCACTGCTGACCAGCATTTTCTCACAGCACGAGAGTACCTCCCTCCTTCCTGTCACTCGCTCCATCCAGCTTAGGAACGCTGCGGTTTTTCTTTCTGCAGCTCTATAGCTTGCATCTATTCATGTCATTTCTTTAAAATATTAAGTGAAAGAAGTTACTGGTAAAAGGAGTAGTAGGGAGAATACCAGCTGTAATGTGATGGAGACAGAAGAGACAGTGGAGGCCTTGAAGTCGGTCCCAGAGCAGTGAGAAGGGTGTTCCTGACCAGCGTGGTGTGATGTGGCTTGTTGCAGAATGGGCCGTGTGGCGGGCTGCTGAGAAAGTGTGCCGAGTGCAGTGGAGGCAGGAAGGAAGGCCTTTTTCTTTTAATCCTCACCTGCGGATATTTTTTCCACTGCTTTTCAGAGGGGAAGAGAGAGAGAGAGAGAGAGACATCGATGTGAGAGAGACACATCGATTGGTTGCCTCCGCACGCACCGCAACCAGGGCCAGGGATGGAGCCTGCAACCAAGGTAGGTGCCCTTGGCTGGAATCGAACCTGGGACCCTTCAGTCCACGGGCTGTTGCTCTAACCACTGAGCTAAACCAGCCAGGGCAAGGAAGGGATTTTTGGGAGCAATGCCTCAAAAGACAGCTGGGGGCTAGCCAGGCATTCCAGGCGGAGGGCAGCTTGTCCAGAGCAGTGCATGGAAATGACTTCTGGAGGTGCTTTAAGTAGCTGGGGGCTGAAGCCCAGAGCAGGTGCCTGAGGTTGGAGAAGAGAGGCAGTGCAGGTGGGCAGAACTTAGTGCATCAGATGCCCCCTGTGGTCTGCTAAAGGTTTTCTCCATTTTTGTTCTTAATGTGGAATAAATCGTTGTACAGTTTTAAATAGGGGGATACTGTGACTATGTTTGCATTTTAGAAAGATTGTCCCACAGGAAATAATGGGAGGTGCACTGGAAGGTGCAAACCGTAGGAAGGAGGTCAATTAGAGACATCCTGCTGGCGAGAAATGGGGGACTTGCAGATCTGCGGGCTGTCAGATAGGACTCAGAAAACAGGAGGGTGTAAGGCACCGAGAAGGACATCTGAGATGACTTCTGGCGTCTTACTTGGGGGACTTGGTGGATGGAGGTGCTACCAAGTGTGAAATAGACTCTAGAAGAATTGACAAGAAGTTGGTTTGAACACGGTAAAGCATTTAAGTGGAGATGTCTTGCAGGCAGGTGGCTATGGAGAGTCCGTGTATAGAGAAGTTTGGGTAGAAGTTTGGATATTTTTGATATTTAAAAAGGGGTAAAAGTTAGGGTGGGAATGAGACCTCCTGGGCAGAGCTTCTGTTGAGAGGGAAAGAAGGCTGAGAACTAACCAGAGGTCGATGGGAAGGCAGGAAAGATGAGGAAGGGACCTCGCAGGGAAATGAAGAGAGGAACTCGAGGAGGAGTGTCCAGGATGAATGCCTCTGATCGTCAGTTTCATAGGAACCAGGTGGTGCCCACTGGATATGGGGCAGCACAGTCTCGGTGAGGTGGAGAGGGACTGGAGCTGAGAGGTGGAGGGGGGTGGGAGTGGGTGATGCACATTTACTCTGTTCCCTGCAGGAGCTTGTCTTAGAGGTAGGTGAGCTGAGGCCATAGCGAAGCCTAGGGGCAGGCTTTGATGGGAGACTTGAGACTGGGGCGGTAGTCGATTGCGAGGAGTCTGGTTGAGAGCTCGGTAACAAGGTAATCCCATTTTATTTGTAGTGACTAGAGAGAGAACCTTGGGAGCCACTCAGATTAATTTGCCATTATATTTGTTTATTGATTTTTCTTCCTTTTTGTCAGGTAAAATTAACTAGATGTTATTTTTTTCACTAAACTCATACTGCGACTGTAAACACTGACCTAGCCTTCTGTTCCGTTTTTCACTGAGCACCTTTGGACTTGACCTGTCCTTTCACACCCTCACCTGCCCCTGAAATGCTGAGACAGGTGCAAACAGTAGCATGTGCCCTGTTCCGGCACCCCGTCCAGCCCCGCTCAGCCTCAGGTAGCAGCATCTGTATGTGCTCCACCCTAGCCTTTCCAGACTTTGCTCTTAGAATAAGTCTGATAAATGCCTTCATGCAGGAATAAAAGCCAGTACTTCAACAAATCTGTATATTTTCCAAGGGGTCAAGGAATGAACTTTTTTGTCAGTGGAATTTCACATATCAGAATAGCTGTGAAGAGATATTTAGGAATGATACCTTTTTATTTTATCTATTCATTTTTATTTTACTTTTTAATTGAGATGTAATTGACATATAACATTATGTAACTTGAAGGTGTACACATGCTGATGTGATATATTTAAGTATTGCCGTGTGATGACCATAGCCTTAGCTAACACCTGTCACGTCAGCAGCTCTTTTCTGTGGGGAGGACAGTGGAGATGGTTACCTTTCAGCATCTACAATCTAGGAAGCAGAATCCTTCCTATTTTATTTCTGACTATGGGAATGTGAAGTTTTGTATTGAAAAATTAAAGCACTTTTATTAGTCGTGGTAGCAAGTGCCAGTGTTTCTGTTCCAGGGCGATGAGCAGAGATTTAAGCTTGAGAAGAAAACACTCTTTGATCACTTATCCTGGGATCTGGGCGCATTGGTGACACCTTGTCCTGTAAATTAACAGCTGTCGTTTTCTTTGCCTGGCTAGGTTGGCCTAGCTTCACATTCCCATAGTCAACAATAAAATTCAGTTATAAAACGAAATCTGAATATTTTAACTTAAAAAAAAGCCTCTACACTCAGGAAAGTCTGGTTTTATGCTCTGTGACCGGCTCACCCTCCGCAGTCATGCTTTTGGGCAGGTGTCTGAGCTTCCCCTCTGAAGTGCTGTGTGAGACAGAGCCTGGTCACTTCCCAGCTGCTGCTCTTTGTGCTGGTCACTAAACGACAGAGCTCCTGTGTCGATGTCCCGTAGCCACTTGGGCTGCTTCTGTCTTGAGGAGATGTATTGCTTCTTCGAATGAGGTTATCATCCTCGGCGCCAAGAGAACTCGGAAACGATGGTGAACAACTAAGTCATTTAAACTTGACACATGTCTGAACCAACATCTCATGAAAGATTATAGGCTCTAAGATCATGAAGCTAGAACTGTGATTCAGTCGATTCAACAGAAAGTATTTGTGAAAGTATTTCAATAACATGGGAAGATTTAAAGGTACTGTTGCCTATTTATATGATGGAACAACAATGAAGAAATGGTTATTTTGTTAAAGGCAGAAGGGATACAAAATTCTATATACAATAGTCCATTTAAAAATATATTTACAGAAGGAAATTTAAAATGAATCACACTGTGAGGTAACTTACTAAAGAAGCATGAAATCTTTCTGTTTCAGCGAATCTACCAGTGCCGACGATTGCTGCCATCGACGGACTTGCTTTAGGTGGTGGGCTGGAGCTGGCCTTAGCATGTGATATAAGAGTGGCAGGTGAGGATGAATCCTATTAAAACATTTTAAAAATGGTTTTTTTTCTTACTCTCCAGAGAATTCCAAATATTTAATTTTTTCCTCTTGTTGAGTAGAACATTTAGAAAAAAGTCACCTGTTGGACTTAGTGAAGTATTTCTCATTCCCAGCTCAGAAAACAGTCTTTGCTATCTCTTGTTCAGTCTTAGCAGTAGGAAGGAGAGCAGGAACGGGGTCAGGCAGAACGGACTTTGAATCCTAGGTCCTTCCCTCTTTGACCTGTTTCCTCCCCTACACCAGGGGAAATGACAGTTGCAGCTGTGAAGGTTAATGAGTTACTCTGGGGCTTGTGTCTGATCCAAGCACCTTATTATTGTTAGCTGTAGAACAATAATCTTTTGGAGGTTCACTTTCTTCCCTAAGTGGTTTTCTTAGGATTAGATGAGGTGATTATGAAAATAATAATGGAACTGTTTCTCTAGCCATGTGCTGAGTGTTGACCTGGTGCCCAGCGCTGTTCTAAGTACTTGGCATGTAGGGACTGAGTCTTCATAGCAGCGGATGAGATGAGTACTGTGTGGTGCTCGAGGAAGCGGGCAGGGGGGAGGTAATGCTCCAGTCAGTGATGGAGCTGGGACTTGAACCCAGCAGTCTGGGTCAGACCCTCCCTCCTGCCACCCTGCCAGGGCACCGCATCCTGCCACTCTTGCCCCGTGCAGGCTCTGACCCTCAGAGAGCTGTGTCCTTGCTCCCTCACTGCGGTGACCTAAAGGACTCCGGGACTGAGGCCTAGATGAAGCAGGCAGGAAATAGTTGTCACTGTCCTCCCCCAGGTTCCCACTGTCACTTCTGATGGAGCTGCCTGTTAAAAGTAGAGTCAGTGTAATTGTGTTTTTAATAATTTTATGGTGACCTTTTGGGATTTGTAGTTGCTAGTCTATGTACACTTTTTCCTTTTTCCTCTTTACTTTGAGTCTCTCTTTTCTGAAACCACTGGGTTTTAAATGGAAAAGCTAAGGCACATGAAACCCATTTCTGAGAGAATGCAGCTTCTGGGAGCTAGGATGTGGGAAGGTGTCCCAGTACTTTGGATAAGCAGATAAAGAAACAGTCATGGGGTTTTACAGTACCCCTGAAACAAACATGGAAAGAGACACCCTGTCCAGCTGCAGGACAGTAAAACCATCTGTCACAAGCACCTAGAGATTGGGTCTTAAAAAGTTGCTGTATCTGATAGGGCATATTGAGCTGTGTGGTGTGGAGGACTGTTCCGGCAGCTAAAGCACTCATACTTGTCAGACACAGCCTCTCTCCTCATCCTGAGAAGCTAATGGGAGCTAGGCCTTCAAACATCACGTGGCAGCATCAGGCCAAACTGTGTAGTTACAACCTTGGTCTTTCTGCATCAAAAATTATTTCTCTGCCAAGTAATTTTTAACAGAAAATATGTGAATCTCTTAATACACAGGGTGCAGCAAAAGTAGGTTTATAGTTGTTCGTGTGGAAAACAATAAAAGAATTAAGAAACAATAATTTAAGAATAAACTTTCATGTACTCACAACTGTAAAACTGCTTTTGCGGCACCCTGTGTATAGTTTAGAGTGTTACTTATTTTCATAGCTAAATGCCTTCTGCCATGATAAAAGGGCGCGTGACACAAATTTAATTAGTAAACAGAGTACAGTTGCTCCCCTTTATCCCAGGGATATACATTCAAAGACCCCCGGGGGATGCCTGAAACCTCGGGTAGTATGGAACCCTATATAATACGCCAGTTTTTCCTTTACTTACACACCTTTTCACCTAAAGGAAGCACTTTCTGGCTTCTCTCTGGCATACCCATATTGCAGGCATCACTACTAAGTAAAAAAGGGGTGACTTGAACACAAGCACTGTGACACCACCACAGGGCATCTGATAATCCATATGGCTGCTAGTGACTAATGGGCGGGGTGTCTGCAGCATGGAGACACTGCACAGAGGAGTGATGCACAGCCCAGGTGGAACGGGCAGGACAGAGATTTCATCACACCGTTCGGAGGAAATAGCAGTCTTAAAATGTATGAATTGTTTATTTCTGGAAAAATTTCTGAATATTTTTCGACAGCATTTGTCCTCAGGTATCTGAAACTATGGACAGCGAAACTGGATAAGGGGGGTGGTTACTGTATTCATAGGGTATTCTATTGACTTTTTAAAGTCATAAATGAATTTGATTATATGGATATTACTTAATTTTCTTCCTTCCTTTTCAGCTTCCTCTGCAAAAATGGGCCTGGTTGAAACAAAGCTGGCAATTATTCCCGGTGGAGGTACGAATTGTTCACGCCCATCTCTCTTTGTTCTTAAAAATCTGCATGAGGCAAAAAGGAGTTAATTGAAAGGCAACATTTTGGGGGAAGAGACTGATGCTGTCTTGTTTGCTCAGCAGTCAAGTCCTCCACTGCATTCCTAGCTGCCGTAGGTGTGAGGATGGTGCTAGTGAGGACGGTGCTAGTGGGGACCGTGGTACCCATGCTGGCTGGGGCTGTCTTTCTGTGCTCTCCTGTGCTTTCTGTATGATTTCTTAATTTTCAAGTTATTGTATCAGTCACATCAGTCTTGAAGGCCGACACTGCTACTTTGGAACTTCTCTGTGGGTATATAAGTGCCTGTCCCTCAGGGAGCCCCATGCCCAGGCAGACCCCATGGAGGAGGGGAGGGCGCCCAGGCTGCACCCACAGTCAGAGCCCTGTGGCAGAGGGACAGGGCACTCAGGCTGCACCCACAGTCAGAGCCTCATGGAGGAGGGGCAGGGCACCTAGGCTGCACCCACAGTCGGAGGCAGTATTGAACACTCCAGGCATGTTTGTACCTGAATAGGTTAAAATTGTATGTTTAACCATATCATTATAAGAGTATTTATCCTAATTAGGGCGTATAGGTAGAAATTAAAACATAATTCAGTGAAACTGAAGACTACCCAGATCAATGTGTGAGGCTCACTAAATTTTCTACTTCAGCAATCCGTGAAAATGCTACTTTGCAGGTAAAACATTTAATACCTGCCTGTGTATCATACCAGCCTTTTTCACAGTGACCAGTGACAGCTTCAAAAAGGGTTTATAAGAAAACATATCTAATTGAAAAGTTATCAGATAACAATGTGAAATAAAAACAAGGTTTAGAAAAAAGATAGGATGTTTCATAAATTCTTTTAAGAAGTAAGCATTTATTAGTAATTAGGATAAAACTAATCCTAGAAAGAGAGTGGCTATAGTTTAATGGTGGCTCCCCAAAAGATAGGTCACAGTGTAAAATCTGGGAATATGACCTTATTTGGGAAAAAAAGTCTTTGCAGATGTAATTAAGTTAAGGATCTTAAGATGAGCTTATCCTGGATTATCTGAATGAAGCTTAAATGTAGGGACAAGTGTCTTATAAGAGGAGGAGAAGACTCAGACAGAAGAGGAGAAACAGAGAAGAGCATGTGAAGACAATTCAGAGATTGGGGAGATGTGTTTACAAGTCTAGGAAGGCCCCGGATTGCTGGCAGTCCCAGAGCTGGGAGATCTTCCTCAGCACCTCCAGAAGGAGTCAGTCCTGCCAACATCTTCATTTTAGACTCTGGCCTCTGAGACTATGAGAATTAAATGTCCACTGTTTTAAGCCACCAAGTTTGTGGTAAATTGTTATAGCAGCTATGGGAAACAAGTACAGTAGTTTTCAATGCTTAAGTCTTTTTTTTAGACAGGGACTTAGTATATGGTGGAGATAGGGGGTGGGAGAAAGATGAACTTGGTAATTTGGATGTCTGTCAGGTCCTGAATGTGAAATGTTTTGTATTCCAGCCACTAGAAGGTAGGACAGTTGTGTGAGAGTACTGTTGGATTTGGTTAGATGATAAAGCTGGCTTGATTACACTGCAGAAATGAGGGTGATGGCTTTAGTCCTTCCATCGTCCCATGAACTCTGAGGCCTGGGTTGGCATGTCCTTCCCAAGATACTCAAGTTCTCGAGGGGCCTCCTCAGTAGTGCATCCATTCATCAGAACCACTCTATAAACTTGATTGAATTTGGACTGAGTATTCTCATGGATACTGTTATTTTAAAAAAAAATTAAATAAATATGCCATAAATATCAGAAGGCTTTACATTAATCCAAATGAAGCTGTGGCTCCCTGCTTGGATTTACTGTATATTATAGACACAGAGGAGTGGACCTGATGCCCCTGGTGGTCACACTGCTATCACTTCTGTCCTTTGTGATAGCAGTTTACTGGGAAACAGCTCATCAAAACCTAGCATTGAGTTTTCTTTTTGTTGTTGTTTACTTGAAATTGAGCCTGAATAACAATGTGATTATTTTTAAGGTATATTTTATAAATTTCCTTAAAACAAATTAAATTAGAAAATGATTGTTTTGATATGTGTTATTTTAAATTGATTTCAGAGAGGAAAAGAGAGGGAGAGAGAGAAACATCACTGATGAGTGAGTCATTGATCCCCACTGGGAACTGAGCCCACAATCTGGGCATGTGCCTTGACCAGTTGGGATTCGAACCTTGACCTCCTGGTTCATAGGTCAACACTCAACCACTGAGCCACACTAGCCGTGCAGAAAATGATTGTTTTGAAGAGATAGATTGTTTTTACTAAGAATTTGGAAATTGTCTGCTGTCAAATGACTATTAAAAGTATGTAGTTAATGAAAAGGAAGGTATAAAGGAAAGCAGAAACATTAAAAATAGTATTGTGTCAGATGTTATTTAAAAATGGAATGTAATTGACCGTCATATAGTTAAACTAGTACTTTTTGTGTTTTTTTTGTGTGTGTATATATATGATTGTAGACAAATATTATGAAACACAAAATACAGTGTTAATGATTTAAACCACTAGCCAATTTTAAAATAATTACACTGGTTACTCTAGGGCCTCCCTACAGTATTCTGAATTATTTTGGGCATGTTGTACCACGTAACCCCTGCTCTGTTCTCCAGTATTTTCACCTTTGAAAAAGCAGCTCAACTTCCTGTCTTCTCCCAATCCGGACAATAACTTCAGTAGTTAACATAAAACTCTCTTAGAAATAGCTCCTCAAAGAAAACCACCCTTTAGCATGTTTGTAAGAATCAAACAAGTTCAGAGGATTAGGATCGTTTTTATTTAACAGTTTAGAAATTTTCTTGTTTGCACGCAAAGTGGTGGCAAGTTCCCCCATTCCCAGCCTTTGTTTCTTACCTGCTACTGGAGGATTTGGGTTGTGTCAAGAAACCTTATTAGGACTAAGGTAACTGTTGAGGCTTCTTGCCTGGGTGCGCACCCCTGTGGATAGGATGCCTAATATTTCCAGTGCTCTGTTCTCTCCAGCGTTTTCCTTTGGAAATACTTAAACTTTAGGAAGTTTGAGAGGCAGTGAAATGAACCTCTTTATACTCTCGTCAAGATCTTCTCACCCCGGGACCCCCTCCCACCCGCTGTGTCTCCCACTCTCCTGTCTCCCTCCTCAGATGTACACCCATCTTTTCTTGCTGAAGCATTTCAGTAATGCCAAGGTGAGCCTTCAAGTATTTCAGCCTGCCTTTCCTAAAATAGGAAAGGACTCTTATGTAACCCCAGCACTAGTATCATCCTGAACAGTAACACTGATATTCAGATTTCCCCAGATGTTTCAAAATGTAGTTTCTGGTGGTTTTGTTTTGCTTTTCCAGTTCAGGGTGTAGTTAAATGTTACACGTCATATTTGGTTATAACTTTTCTTTTTTAAAATCTAGGCAAGTCACCCATCTCTTCGTTTTTTATAACTAATTTAAAAAGAAAATCAGGTAAATTATCTTGCTGAAGTTTGCACATTGTGGATTTGACAGTTATTTCTTCATGTTTAGGCTAAAAATGTTTGCCAGGAATTCTCACTGGACCATGCTTTATGTTTTATTTTCATTTTACTAGATGGCTCTTAGAGTCAGGCTCTCTCACCTTGGGAAATGGCGATTTGATCGCTGCATAAGGTGTGACTCAGCAGGATCCAGTGTTAGCATTCCTCCTTAGAAACTTTACGGGAAAAGCGTCTTCAGTGATTGCTGTTGGCACTGACTGTCCCCCAAATCAAAAAGAAAAGGGAGAAGATTAGAGCACTTGGGCTTCAGGGGACCAGAACCAGATGCCCCGGCTTGTCTGTGCTCTTCTCTCCAGGGCGTGGGATCTGTGCTGGGCAGTGAGGCAGCGTCCTGGCTGCTGTCAAGGCCTCTATTTTCAGATGTGCCTATGGAGCAATGATGGATTTTTAAATCCTTTGTGTATGCTGTTCTGAACACAGTAGTCATTTTGGAATGTTGTGTTTCAGCCTTTGTTAAAATCCTCTTAGAATTTACATCGGAGTCTGAGAGTATTCTTTTGAGCCGCCTCAGCAGTGATTCATCACTACGCCGTGAGGGTGACCTCGATTTCCACAAATAGCAGGAGGCCTTTTTGTGCCAAGTCTGATTGGTAAGGTCATACTATTCCAGGAAGAAAAGCGGAACAACAGGAACACTGCCTTTTTTAAGAGGCTTACAAACTGTCAACATTTACCCGTTTACGAACCGGGGTGGCACTGCTGGGTTCACGGGCCTGCTTCCAACGTGGTCTCTCTAAGGGCCAGCAGCACTCATTCTGCTCTCTGAAGCCTTGTCCCTTTATTAACTCACCTCAGACAATGCAGTCGCATTCCTTCGTGCTTTAGGATGTAATCAGTGACCACTGCCTCATGTCTAATGGGGTATTTGGAAGTTAGCTGTTGGCTTCCCACTGCTGACAGGTCATTTTGTTAGTTGCCATGGAAGAAACACATACAGGGTGGGCAAAAGTAGGGTGATAGTTGTGAGTATGCAAAACAGTTTATTCTTGTATTACTGTTCATTATTTTATTATTTTCCATATGAACAACTGTAAACCTACTTGTCCCATCCTGTATTTATATATAACAACAACGCTTTCTTGGAATTGCTCATCACAACTGGTAGGAGAGATTATCGTGTGTAGGCATCATAACTGACCCGTCATTATAAAGGTGTTGGATCGAACACCAGGAAGGCCCTTTGCCACTGGGAATTGTGAATTTGAGAAAACTGTGGATTGTCAGCTGTCGGCCTCAGTTTGCAAGGTCTGCAGCATGGGTCTGCAGCATGGGTCCCCAGCACTGTCCTAATGTCCCTCCTCCTGCTCTCCCTTTGCTCACACACTGTATTCCCAGCATATTTATTCATCTAACTCAGCAAATATTTGTTTACCCACACACTGGTGTAGACGGGGCAAACAGCTGTGACAAACAGGGAAAGGTCACTGCTGCCAA